AACAAGTATTAGCAATAATATTGATTTAAATCGTTCCATTGGCCTGTTTGTGGGTCATGCACTAGCAAACAAACAAATAACATAAATATATATATATAAGTGTGTGTGCGTGCGTGCGTGCGTGTGTGCGTGCGTGCGTGTGTGTGTGCGTGTGTGTATTGTATAGGTATTATTCATTATATGTCACAAAAAACATATTAAACGCTATTTTTATAATATCTATAACATTTAAATACACTTCTGCTAAAGTTCTATAATCGCATTTAAAAAATAAAAGATTAAACATATTTTTTCTAACTAAATAATATGAAATATTGAACTGTATCGTTGCCCGGATCGCATAGCATCACACTTAATTTTATTGATAAGGTTGAAAGGCATGTCTATTAGTGAATTTGTCTAATCTATAAGCTACGATCATAGACATGACACGCGCTAAAACAATGGCTCTGTGCACAAGAAATTGCATAGTAATTCTCTTGTATCTTTAAACTCCATTGGATAAAGTTAGTTATTGAGGCGTGGGACGATTTTTCTACTATAATAATCACCGAATGTCACAATACGATACACACTCAATGGTTTTGCAATTGACACATCGATTATTACCAGTACACGATTAATATAAAAATTAGCGGGGTCATGACTCAGCTCCCGACCCCGAATTACGATTTCCCGTATTATGAGAATCAGAGACTGAAATACATACTGATATATGTTTATGTATATAAGACGAATAGACTGATTTCATGTTGTTTTTAAAATGATGACATCAGCGTCGCGGACGCCATTCTCTTCATCATTATCATTGCCTTCCATGGTGACAGTAATTAAAATTTACTTTTCCAAACTATTACTTTTATTGAATTTGAAGTGTACAATAATAACAAAAGAAAGTTCCACACCGTCCGGATGTTCGAATTGAAATGTGTTGTGCAACAAAAGTAACTCGTATTTGTAGTAGAACAGTGGGGTAGGTTGTTCATAAATTTTAATGAATACCGTCTTAAACAATTATTCACATGCGTTAGACTAATAATAAATATCCAACAATTTTAAAATTGAGAAATAAAACGGTTAACTCTGCCCATCTTAGTGAACTAAATAGCAGGGTTGCGCCGATATATGTATACAGATATAAAACACCCAGACGAAGTATCGGCTAATTGTTTACACGGCCCCTGAATTCGAATCTAAATTGCAAACGATATTTTAGAATTACTAACATTAGTTGTTCATATATAATTAATTTAGTAATTTAACCGCTACAGAATTTTAATTATTAGAGTCTAAAAAAAAAACCATATTTTTAACGATCATTAAAGAATGCGATTGGGTACGCGACTCCAGTCATTTCTAGCTAATGTTGACAAGTTTTCTTAACTCATCAAAGTTAGTCAATGGTAGCAGTATCTTCAATCAGCTACCTTAAGTTCTGGTGGTATGGCCTATTATAGCTTAAAAAGGGTAGGTTCCATCATAATAGCATACATAGGTACCTATTCCGACATCATTTTGACTTCCAAGTCATGTCAGAAGGTGTGCATTTTCGTTATGAAATCTACAGGGGCTCCGGAAATCATAGACGTATGTATGTACCCAGTCTAAAGCAATCGAAAAAACATCTACAACAATATTTTATAAAATATGTACGTATGAGTATTATTTTACGAAGACCGCGAACTGATTTCACATAATAATAATAATAAAATTAACTTAACAAAACACCTAACGTAATTAACTAATTACGAAATAAATCTTTCGTTTAAGTGTAATGTAACGTTTACGAGTTGTTAATGAGCGTAACGTAATCTCACGAGTGGGTCAAGTACGTTGCCGCTGGATGCCCAATATTACAATAGACACGTGCTCGCAAGAAATAACTGTAGTTAGTCATCTCTACAACAAAAATGGTGGAGAATGTTAACACGTTGAAAGCCACATGAAAAATGGAGTATTTTCATTCAAGCCACGGTGCTCACCGGTGAGCCTTATCTAAATGAACCGTTGGGGCCATGAGGCCAGCCACCCGTGGCTGGTGAACCGCACGAGGTTTTAAATGTAAACGCTTCCTATTAGCTACAGATTTGAGCCATCAAATAAAAAGCGTATGGAAGTGAGCCGCGTGGCTCCTTATCCGAACCGAACGCCTTGGTTTTCAAATCCAATAGAAAGTTGAGGTTTTTATCAAGATTAGCCTTTTAAAATATCTTAATAACTAGACGATAAAAGTCGCTATTTTTTATCTGCCGTGCCAATTGTCGCATTTTATAAATTTCCGAATGAAAATCTCAAGTTGACAAAAATTACTGATTCCATAATTTTAGCTTGGCCTTATAGTGCGCAGCGTTCAACGTGTTAAACCTCACTCTAATCGTAAATTAGTACAGTTTTGGGTACACACTAGTCCGTATAAGGGCGGTGCATTACTATCCTACTTCGAGTTTTATTTAGGCAATCTATCCTACATCGCTTTATTTATACTATCCTACATCGTTTGAGGCAATCGCTTATCGCACGGTAAGGTTATGACCTGATTTATTTTTGAATAATAAAATTAGCAGTTGGCTAGACCGGCTCAGCCCAGAGTCCGTGGACAACTCAACGTGAATTCCACCTCACCGCTTGAAACCTCACCCTTCAAATCGAAAAATACTTAGCGATATACAAGATGGTGCCATATTTTTTGTATTGAGAATTTATAACCTTGGTTTATTTGAAATCTTCATTCCAAGTTACAGTTCCTTGTAATTTCACAAGTAACAGTACAATAGAATCGCATGCGTAGTGAGCAAGAATGATTCGTGTGACGATAGCTATAAGAACCAAATTTCCGTATCACATTACCGGCACTAGTAGCGCAAGCATATGACCATTTTTGGTCACAAACGTGAATACGTTTTGCTTTCGCACGAGCTGTCGTAACCACGTAACTTTTTAAATAACAATTCAATTATATTTTTGTTGATTTTTGATTATTGTTTCAAAGCGTTAAATGTTATGTGAAGGTTCCATGACCTACAGTGCTAAGTATATTCGTATATAGAGACGTAATTAGTGTATCGAGTTTTAAATTCTTTGGCATATTACAGTTTTTCTAATAAACTTACCAAATATATGCTTAAGCTTCAATGATGAAAGAATGATATCGAGTAAATAAATTAATACATAAGCTCAATATTTTTTAGCGTAGGCGGGTAAGCGATCTCACGCCTCTTTCAATATGAAGGAATCGGACCTTTATCGATAGGGTCTCACACTACAACAACTTAGAACTTCTAAACCAAGTAACCAATTATTTAATTCAAATTGTAACAACCCTAACGTTACTTAATTTGTGACGTAACACGAAAAGAGAAATTTTTGTTTCCTCCGATCTATGGGAAACGTCCGTGAAGTTGATGCACTGTTGCACTCCGTTTCCCGTGTTGCTTGATTTTTATAAACTTTTACGATATTTTTAATTTTTTATTTGACTGAGAATAATTTTGTGAAAGTGCATTTAACGTTCAACCAATATAGTGTGATCTCATAAAACCTGAATTAACAAGTATCGTATGTGAGTAACAGTGAGGTTATTCAATGCGTATTGGTCATGTCATTAGGTTATGGTTTTTAATAAATCTATTCTATCAAATGTTTCATTATTTTTGTCAAATACCTGAATTATATCAATATATCTTTATCAACTTTCCGATTCGTTTTTCGAAGCTACGTACACAACTTCCCTTCAATGAGGCAGTCAGCACAAAAGTGGCCTAAGCTTACCATAGTAAGTATCGAGATAATGAGGTCTGAATTTACTTTTACACTGCTTCGTAGGCAAAAACAATACGCGCTAAAATAATGTTTACAAAGCCATTCGTTATCTATGGGCGAAACTAGGAATGCAATTCCTACATATAAATACAAATATGAAAAATTGCGCGTTAGGTCACTTTTTCACTGACGGCCTCAAATATGTATTCACTGTACATTGCGTGTTTCCGAATTCTGAATATGTATCTATATAAAAATAGTTAACTACCATTATCTGCTTTATTTCGTCAACGGATTTTCTATTATTTTCGTTTATTTGCTATTGACGATATAAAAATACATATAACCATGAATTTTTTTTGGAAATAGTTTTTCTTTCAACATCTTAAAGACGGAACATACAATGTAATGCGTACAATTAATCCAAATATTGATATTTCAGTGATTAATAGTAGTGTTTGAATTCCATTGCGCCGAACGTATTACACACACGAATGCAGAATACCAGGGGTGGCCAACCGGTAGATGGCGGTCGATCGGTCGATTGTGGCTATTAGTTCAGTCGATCGTGGCAAGGCAAAAAATATAAATACATAGAAAAGACTGCCCAACGTAATCCCCAATTGCTGTGCGCATCATCTTCATTTTGTATCATTTGTTATTGACCATTACATCACATTATTTATGCTCTCTTCTACACAATAGTTCTCTTTTATTATATAACTAGATGACCCGGCAGACTTCGTAGTGCCTCAAACGATAAATAAAAGACCTAAACTTTTGTATAAAATAAACTAAAAACAAACAATAGGAATTCGGCCGACGGGCGACACACCAAAGGGAAAACAAAACTGTTATTTTTATTTAATTCCGAGCATTTTCATATTTATCTACCTTTTAAACCTTCTCTGGACTTCTACAAATAATTCAAGACCAAAATTAGCCAAATCGGTCCAGCCGTTCTCGAGTTTTAGCGAGACTAACGAACAGCAATTCATTTATATATATATAGATTTCAGGTTTATACTAATCTTTTTAATAAAAGAAAATACATATATATACATATTTGTACTACTTATTTGTATACTGAACTACATTGTTTCATTAAATTTCATGAAATGTAATTGGTAGATCGCAGTGTGTTTCGTCAGTAGCTGTAGATCTAGGTTCTAATTAAGTTGGCCACTCTTGCAGTATACATTTTGGCATAAAGGTAAAAAAAAAAGTGGCCTAGAACTGACCTGTGGCGTCCTCTGGTGTTGATGTGCCTCACTTCCCGACCGCCACTGCTCTCGCCGTCGCTGCCGGAGCCTTGCACTTCGATGGTGTGCACCGACATTGACTTGCTCATCTACAACAACAACAATTCAGATCAATGATATTTTAATAATGATATACTCTTTGTTTATGGTCAAACTTTTGTTACGGTTTAAAGTCTGTGGTCAAAATGGGAATAGATTAATCTTTAATGTTACTTGCCCCTAGAGCAAATTGGCGAAATCTGTGATTATAAATACATTATTTTCGATAATATAGATATATTATCTTGTCTTTGACAATGTAAATTTAATAATGTTTAAACTTATCATTTTATGTAATTATACTCGAATTTCGACTACTGGCCGACCACTACTTTATCTAAATTTGCATGTTTTAACAACGAGTACTTTCGATTAAGTGGTTATCGGAGCCTATAGACATATACAACGTAAATATCGCCACCCACCTTGAAACATGAGTTGTAAAGTCTCACTTTTAACAGTACTAAAGCTGCCCCACCCTTCAAACCGAAACGCATTACTGCTTCACGGCAGAAATAGGCAGGGTGGCGGTACCTACCCGCGCGGACTCACAAGACGTCCTACCACCAGTAAATTTACACCAATATGTCCATATAGCCAAACGCCATGTTTTATGAAGATACTTTCCATATTACCCGACAGTAGGACATATTGTGGGCCCGCAATGGTAAGCAAAGTCACCACTCTTGCAGAACGTTTATAACAACTCACCGGTGGAATGTATTTTCTGACGGCTGCAGCCAACTCATCGATGCTCTTGTCCTTCTTCTCTGTTTCAATGCCGAAGAACTTATTCTTGGCGGTCTGATTGAGGGCAGATATCTTCATGACCGGCGCCAGAGGGACTTCAGCGTTCTCGGTGGGGCGTCTCAACTTCCCCAACTGCACGGGCTCGTCTAGTTTCTTAATAAACCTCCTGTATCTCGTAGCATCATCGTCGACTTTACCATCTTGTGAGGGCCGCCTTCCCAGTTTCCCTAGTACGGGGATTTTGACGTCAACGTTCTTGGCCTGATTGATTTTCTCTTTGAGTTCATGCGCGCCTGGTAGTTGAATCTTGTGGGGAAACGCTTCGTGGTCCCGAGTTATATCGGACTCTGTTCTCGAGGTCTTCAGTTTGTTGTTCTTACGTTGGAAGCGACGCGGCTTCGGGTCTGGAAGCTCTTCGGAGCTATCCGATGATGAGCAGCTTTTCTCTGACGATGAAACGCTGGTTGCCGAATCGGACTCGTCGTCTGACGAGCTGTCGATGCCTTCGTCTTTAAGGCCCTGTGTGTGAAAATAATATACTAAAATTATTAATTTACAGCAGTAATTTATTATATAAAATAATCATGCAAATTATTTTTGTGTTTTCCATCTTCTTATAAAAAAAAGGGTGCGTGTACTTATACTTATGTACGCGCGTAAGAAGTTATACTTTATTTTTATTAAATTTATTTCTTTTTTTTTATTTAAATTTTAATCAATTTGAAAAAAAATCGATTAAACAACATCCTCAAACACGCATATTGGACATCCCTTTTCTTGACATCGTATAAATTATGTAATTCTCGGTACGGTTCGGAAAGTTCACCTGCGGCTATATTCAGACTCGCCAAGTTACGTCGGTCGTATTGTAATGAGCGATTTAGTGGGCAACTTCATTCTGTTACTTTTGTGTCACGGTGCGCGCGCATCGTAAAATTTCACTCTCATCAATTTTTCATAACGCGCCTAAAGAAGTATAACTTCAAAAATATATTTTCGAGATTAATTTCTATTTTAGATTCTGTAATTTTACAAATAATTGTTTTTGTGCATCTAAATATGTTATAATTACGTTGGCAATAATGCCTATATAATAAAGGTAAGATAAGCAAGTTGCTATGACAACATGACCGTTTAACTAAAAAATCATTGATATTAAAATATTCCGCCCACCTCCTCCCTTGCTCCCACAGTATGTGACTGAGTCGTTTCCCAAAAGGTCCAATAGTATTTTTGCCATTCCAGATTATCTCCAATGCTTTGATAAAACTTATAAGATTTTTCCCCCACCTATTCGTTGGTAACCTAAGAGGCTATTTCAGCTAAATTGTAAGATGGTTTCAGTGATCACTTACGTTAGGAACGCTAACTAACTCCATTAATCAATTTAATTATTTTTTTAGAAACACGCAATGGATTATGTCTATTGGGATTGAGACATCATCATTAAACATAATTTCGACAGGTGCGAGGAATAACATTGTAACTCAGTTTTAGGTATACCTACAATGCTATTGCTACCTATTTACAATGTTATTCCTTGCATGCAATCTACACATGGCTTTCACTTGTCAACATAAAAAAAGGCCAAACGCAATACACAGATAACGTACAGTATGATGTTTTTTTAAAAATCTTATATATAAAATTCTCGTGTCACAATGTTAGTTACCATACTCCTCTGAAACGGTTTGACCGATTTTTATAAAATTTTGTATGCATGTTCAGTAGGTCTGAGAATCAGCTTCTATCTATTTTTCATACCCCTAAGTGATAAGGGTTGTCCACCCCTAACATTTATATTTTATTTTTTGGACCATTTTTTGTTTTTGTTTTAATGAGACATTATGTGGTTGAATGAGGTTTTGTTATTTTTATATTCCATCATCGTTCACAGCGCTACATGCCTCTTTCACTCATTTACAATTACACTCACACAATTACAATAAGTTTTTTTTTTCTACACTGGAAATTCTTCTTATATATGGCAAAACAACGTTTCCCGGGTCTGCTAGTTTTTATATATAATTGAATTAAATAAAAACACGTTCTCACCGTACCAACCTCAGAGCTCTCGCCTTTAGCCAGGACCTTGGGTCTCGTCGGCACTACGGTCGAACCCGACTTCAATATGCCTCTCACTTCCGGAGTTATCATTCTCTGAGCGCGCTCCGGGGGCGAGTCATCGTCGTAATCTATAAAACGGACATATATTACAAAAACTGTTCATTGAATTATGAACCTTATGTACCCAGGGTCACACGGCGTGTTTAGTGTTTTAGTGAAGCCCATATCGATGCGACGAGGACGGTTTCGTGTACAAAGAACTACAATTATCTACTCGTACAAGTCAGTCAACAAGTATCAAAAATTTATACATTTCCTTATCTCGAGCCATTTCATTTGACGTATTATAATCTACCTAGATAATACAGGTCGATCTAGTCCGTAAGCAAATCAATTTAAAATTTAATCTAAAAATACAATTTCCGAAAATTTGCTATACATTGCGTCGCCATACTGTAATATTGAACGCGCATTGTAATGAAAACCTTGCGAATACAAAAATAGATAAGATAGAATGCCGTGTCATTTTATTGACATTAAACAAATATTAAATTACCGTCCTCGTCCACATAACCGTAGCAGCGTCCCTAAGAAGCGAACTCGCAGTTCGAATACCAGTTCAACCGATCGATCGATACGCAACCGGTTAATTGAAAGACACACAATTAATTGAAAACGACCGAGAAAAAGTGCGCGCACAAGATATTCACACACACCGAGCATGAGTAACGTTATTGAGCTGAAAATAATGTATTACTCAATATCCCGCCAATGATTTACGACACGTGTCCAGCGTGACTTACTTCGTATAGCATGCATAATATGACGTATTGTGAAATCACTGAAAAGTTAAAACTAACAGTTCGTCTCGCAGGAAACTCGATTCAATCGAGAATGTATAGTACCTACGAGCACAGGATAACAATGTTACGTTCTACGTATTCGTGCAGAGGTGCATGCATCAATAACTCACCGTTAGATATATATCGACCCTTGAAAGGCAAACGTGACTAAGCGACAATTTGTGAACTTTACAGTAGACAAATTTAAAGTTGAAATACCTGAAAGATATTCTATTTTAACAAATCTAGCTGTAGGATTGAAATTATTTTAATAGAACTAGAAATATATTTTTAAGTTATTGCATAGCTTTTATCGCGGGCCTTGAGCGCGGCGACCGAATCATGAAATTCCGTAACGAAAAAAACCTTACACCCCTCACTCCGCCTATCATGTAGCTCGCGTTCAACACATTCACACGTTGCGCTTGTGTAGTGTTTGTGAATAAGCGCGTGGCGTGACGTCACACTGCATGCGCATCATGAAAAGTCTGCCCATCTCTCTCTCGCGCGGTCTAGCTTATGAGTGTGAATGGGATAGTTAAGGTTTTGCTTTTATTAATGTTTAATATAGCGTTGTCTTGTTTTATTATTGTTTTAATATTAAATTATTATTGTTATTATTTAGTTTATTGTATTATTATAATTGCGTAAGTTGATAAAAAATGCTATGCAATAGCTTTACCGCGGCACTTCCCGAGTGCCACACGTTTTTTTTTTGCGCATCGAATATGGTTATTGCTTATCACTTATGTACAAAGCAGTTATTGTCGCTTAGTCACGTTTGCCTTTCAAGCGTCGATACATATATATATATACAATCGTAATACTGTATTAGTGCACATCCAACCAAAGCGCGTCTCGAGCCAAGCGCGAAACGACAACAAAAAACCCAAAATCATAAAAATACAAAATCAGACCTAAGCTCCTAAACTTTGCGTTCTCCCTCATGAGATATTCTAGGGACGTGTTCTTAGCGCTGGCCGAGCGGAACAGTTCCATTTTGAGTTGGAAGTCCGGATTACGCGGCACGTCCTCGTGGGTGAGCGACTTCGTCAGCCTCTCGTTCTGCTCCATGGCCTCCTGGATCTGGCTGGCCAGCACGGGCATGGTGCGCAGGCGCGAGGCCCGTGGCGGCCGGTCGTCCCGGGGCCGCGGTAGGCCCGCCATCGGCGGCTTGTGCGTCAGCCTCGCGTTGAACATCTTCATTTTCTCCGACAGCGACATCTTGGCCGGATCGTCTTCGTCTAATTTAGCTGCCACCGGTGTTTTTGTGTGCGTATTTACATAACATTGTGTGCGTTTTGTGATTTAATAGTCCCGCATTTACACATAGTAGAGTCGAGGACATGCAAAAAAGAAAAGCCGACGATCATAAGACAGGAAGCGTATTCCCTATTTAACGCAAAGTACATGCTATCGAATATTCGTAAAAATAAAATAATAATATAAATCAACTAAACGAACGTGTAAATATTACTTACCATCTTCGTCTCTGTCTAGCACGTTTGCTGTGCTCTTAGAGTGAGCGAGCGAGACGGGTTTCGCGGGTGGTTCGCTTGTTTCATCCGAAGACGCAAACGATATAGGCTGAGTCTTAAATCTCTCCGCCACCGGGGGACCCTCCTTTAATTTGGAGCGACTGTGACGGATCAAAGGTTTCGGTGTTCCTGGAATTAAAAAAAAAAACAATATTTAGAGAAAGCGTGAAAGAAATGCATATAAAGTGTTTTAGTTTAAGATCGAATTATGAACAGCTGCCTGAGCCAGAATCCGAATAATAATACATAATTTCATAATAATGTGCTTAATTTGTTTTTGGATTATTTTACATTTACAATTACAATAACAAAATAATTAAGTTAAAAAATTATAATAATAAAATTAAATTATAACTTCTAGAAGTTCAATTGTTTTTTATTTATTTATTATTATTTTTTTTATTTTTTTTATTTAGTCATCACTATCTAATTTCATGTGCGAACAGTAGGCAACCCGCCCCCTTACCCCTGTCGCCCTCTAAGGCGCGGCCAACTAGTTCCGCGCGCACAATAGTTTTAGTCACTAATGGTCAAATAACTGATGGTCAGTAGTAGTTAACGAGCTATGATTTAGAGTATTACGAAACTGTAATCACCTTTGGCCTGTTGCTGTAATTGTTGCCACATGCTGGCCCTTGCGACCACGCTGTTGCTCTTGACTAGCCCGAGGGCGAACCCGCCGTTGTCCTTCTCGTCGTCGCTGGGCGTGTCGGGGCTCCCGGCATCGTTCACCGTGGACTTCCTCTTTCGGTCCATCGTGACCAACCCGCGTTCGATGGACGACGACGACCACTCGTTGCTCGTACTACTGATTGTAGCTTGGTTGTCCTGAGCCTCCTGGCTTTCGATCAAGCCTAGTTCTTCACCTGGAATTTTCAAATAAACGATTCGATTGATTAAAACTATCATAGTAAGCTCGTTTTTCGCACGACATCTGTGATGCACAAAAAATGACACGATTTAATAACCGTACGATTGCACTCGAAACTTATTCAATGACACTTTGACAAAGAACACGTGCATTACATTGACCCAAATAATTGAGCCGAGAGACATCCACAAGGTTACGTCGTGTTTATTTTCAAAACCGACCTAATACGAATAGCGGCGCATTCGGGTAATTCTAAATTTACGAAACAGAACGTAAACAAACCACAAGCTAATGCAACTCCGGAGCTGACCGACTGCTCTTGGTGTTTGTTTTATGGCGGCACCAGATGCGTCTTCGATCGCACTAAATATGTCTAAACGCTGTTTTCGCATATTTCCATTGCACGCGTCATGTCCGATAAAAATAAGCCAACGGGGTGAACAAACTGACGAGATCAGAAAATATTCTCACCGGAATGAGGACCGGAGNAACCACAAGCTAATGCAACTCCGGAGCTGACCGACTGCTCTTGGTGTTTGTTTTATGGCGGCACCAGATGCGTCTTCGATCGCACTAAATATGTCTAAACGCTGTTTTCGCATATTTCCATTGCACGCGTCATGTCCGATAAAAATAAGCCAACGGGGTGAACAAACTGACGAGATCAGAAAATATTCTCACCGGAATGAGGACCGGAGTCTCTAGATGATGCACGGTTGTAGACTCCGCTGTCACAGGAGACATTCAGACTCCAGTTGTCAGCTTCGGCTTGCTGTCTCTCGTCTTCGTCTAGCGCGCGACTGTCCTCGTCTAATGCGACTCGTACTTTGTTTACTTCTTGCTCTATTTCGTCCAAAGTCGACGATTTGCCCACAACGTTTTCCAAGTCTAGAAAATTGGCCTCACCGTAGCTGTCGTCCTTGGGACTGTCGTCGGACAAACAGTGCGGCGTCGTCGGCGACTTGAGACCGAACGAGCTGGCTCCGTACGGAGGCGAGTTTAACGTTTTGGCGAAGTCTGCGAATGGATCCGTTTCCGGTTCCCCCGAAAGGGGAAAGACGCCCCTGGACGAGGGAACAGCACCGGCCACGACGGGACGGCTCGGAAAACTACAGTCCGTTTCGCCGAACGCTTGAAAACTCTCTTGGCTCGGCTCCAAGCTGCGAAATGAGAAAAGAAACTTGTTAATGTTGTACACAGGCGTACATTAGAAAGAGACGGTTGCAGTTTCAGTTCGCCTCCGTAAATTCGGATGAATTATAGCGTGAGTGATTGGGATTGGCGTTGCCGACCTATCTTTTAGGAAGTTTGACACCATCGTCAATATTAACTAAATATAAATGTCTGAACTTGGTTGCCGCATTATCAATCTAAATTACAATATAAGAAAGACACACATGAGTTAACACATACTTGTTTGTTTAAAAGCTTGGCCTAAAACAACATCTTTTTTAACTGCTCAAAGTCAAAATCGTAGCGCGATTTTCGCAATTACGTCGAAGACTTGTAATATGGCGTCAGTATTTTATGACCTAAGAGGTGGTGGGACTATTAGTCCATCGGTCACTGCAACCCACATAGATCTACTATGACTTCCTGATAGTGTATGATATCTTTGTCTAGGCCCAAGCTATACCTAAGCTGGACTTTTTAGTTAGGATAGAACTATAATAACGCGGTTAAATATACCGTCGGAACCGGGAGCCTTGCGAGGACGTAGACATTTCTACTTCATGTTTTCAAAACAAAGAATGTACTCTCCGAGGATTGTGTATATTTTGCTGCTTAAGACACAGTATAATGCTGATGGGTTTCGTCCTACTTACAATACCTACAGAATGAATAAGCAACAAGGCATAATCTGTATATGTGCCATTTAAGTTACAGTACCCGGTGAGGGTTCCCTAGTACCTATACTAGTCATATGGTATTATACAATTGTTCCATACTAAGAAACCTTATGAAAAAAAAAACGAGTGAAACCTTTGCTCTGCCTTGTGTGATCAGGTCTCACAATCTCTTCACCTAAAGATGAATGGTGACTTATCTATGGACCAGTGATCTGACAGCCTTTTACGGTCTGATGGTATTATGTCAAACGTCTACCAAAACTCATAGACATGAAGACAGACCGCAACAAACCGGATTTCAAGTCCCAATCAGCATTGAAAGAACGAGTAACATTTCGCATGAAGGAATGAAGAAGGCATGACCGCATCGCGGCCAAAAAACTATTTTTATTACGTAAATGTATTTTTTTCGTTCTTATGCATTAAACCGGAGACAGGGCGGCTTCAACTTAAAGTACAATGAAAAACGAGCATGATGTTTAAATATTGATATTTTTTTCCAAAGAAAACCTGTTGTTAATTTATTTAACACAAGAACATCGCAACCTTTTGTCAGTGCGATGTTCATGAATAACCTCTTTATTCTAGCTCGTGACATCAACGTAATCGTTGCGCATATAAACAAACAGACGCGACAATAAAACAGATGCAGTAAATCATTAAGGACGCGACGCACAGCTGCCCGCACCAGATCGGGCCCTCATAAAACTCTGAGCGTGCTTTGGAGCACACCAGATCCAGAAATAATGCTTGACCCAGTAACGTTTGGAGCGATTATATCCGTCATCAGGACGCGGCTTCTACTTGCAACGCAGACAACTGATGTTGATCATTATACAATAAATGCAATTGACGAAAATAAATCCGTTACCAAAATAAAACATGCTTTATATCGTGTGCACGGGAGCGTTCTGGTGGTTTAGTTTTTGGATAGTTCGTATACCATATTAAAATGGTTTTGGAGCAAATATTCTATCTTCGATTCACTTTAAAGAGGTGTGAATTGGCTAAGATACAGAACACTGAAAAGATCGAGCGGTTACTCATCGTTCGTTGACAATGTCATCAAACAAGGTTGAATTATGATAGAACATTTGTTACCAAGTACAGTCGAATGCAAATTGTTTAGTAAAAATAGTTCTATCGTTATTCGTGTGGACAATTATATGTACTATTAAAAAAATTCCAGAAAACTTCCGGGCGGTTTTTATTCATTAACAAAATCCAAATGACAGTTATGAAAAAAGCGAAAAATAAAAAGGAACGTGTCTTGAATCTGTAATTAACAATGTTGTTCTGCGTGACACGAATAAACGCCCCGATTATCCTTTCGAGTCGTTGAACGTTCGCACTCATGACCTACATCTTACTGTTCGTGAAACGTAACGGGATACTCACAGCTCCTTGAAAGGTCGCCAGTTCACAAAAAAACTTTCCATCGTAAATTAAATATTTACGAAACACTTTAAGTAAGATGCTGTCGAGACCCAGAACATCTGTGGACTGATATTATTCAAACATTGAGGTGGAGCAAAAAGATGACGTCAGAAACACATTAACAAACTTCAAGAGCGAATTTCTGTACTAATTAGATAAGAACCGTCAGAAAACATTGATTCGAACAAGAATTAACGTTCCCAGGACACCAGGGTCCAGAATTGGGACGCGATTAACGGAAACTGACACGTCCTTTCTAATTTTAACCAGTTTGTAAATCAGAGAGTGCTTTACGCCCATTTTCGTTGTCGTCGAAATTATTCGGAATCAAAAGGAATAGTGAAAAGGCTTCCGATCAAAGAGACGTATTATTTCACGCAATGATTAAACCTTTGAGTGTTGAAATGGAATTTTTATACGGTATACTTGATCAATTGCTTTACGAAGTGAACGAATATTTTCTCATATCTTCACAAATTCGTCTAATCAAATATTTGCTGTGACAGCTTACGACGATTATTATTGTTTAAAATTTATTTCAAGCGCGTTTAGAAAACGTTAATTATAGAATTACTAAACTTAAACCGCAGCTTCACTCGTGGTAATGTGAAACTCGTGAAAAATATATATGACTCGGAAATAGCATCTACTTTTTTCTCGATAAAAAGTTCCATAGTATTTTTTTGTACCGACACAACGTACACGACAAATTTCGATAAAGCAGTTAACATGTGAAAACGTGACAAACTCAATTTCGGCTTTATTAGTATGGATAGAATGATATTGAAATCCGTTTAGAACAAAATATTAGGGAACCGGCACACAACGAACGCTCTTCAAAATAATGGCTACGGGCCAACGTTTGCCTCGGAGACCGGGTAGTAAACAGAGCTCAATCACCTCTGCTAAAGAAAAGGCATACAAATAACCTCCGTCCAGCGGAAATAAAAAATAAATAAATGGCTCGTAAAGGCGACTCCCTAGTTACTTTATTGGTAGTGACAATCCTTCAAAATTCGGTTACATTAAACCAACTGTGCCGGTGGCTAATAACGTAACAACGTAACTGCACTATGAGTCATGTACATGAGCATTCCAGTGATGAAAAATAGAATTGTCGAAAGATGTTATTAGTTTAAAATTTTCTTTTGAAAAAGACAAACTACGGGTCACTGGATTCATTAAACGAAATACATTTTCAACAAACGTTTTTGTGTTCTTAGGTCCCTCTAAACTAGGTCGAAATTTTTTCTTAAACGACATTTTATGTTGTTTCAATTTCAATATTATCAAAACAAGCATTAATGATGACCTACCTGGATGTGATCAATCGCATTTCATCGACGGTGATGGGTTGTGTTTTGTATCGTTCTTTATCTCGTCCTTTACTTCTAGATGTTGATGGCAGATCTTTTGGAAATAAATCTTTAGTAAGAGCTTTTTCCATGCTCTTTATCCTCGATGCTATAGATGGAAATGTTTTTGGGTTTTTCTCATCTCCATTTTCGTTTCTCTGTTCACTAGACCATGTTTCTGAACGAGCACTGTCACTACTTTCATCCACTTTTAATCTTCGATTGTTCAGTATGGATAGTAGTTCATCGTTAACATCACAAGCTAAACTTTTTGATCTAGGATTCGTTTTCGGTCGTTGGTTTCTCCGGCGAAGCACTGCACTTGGGTAGTTCTCCTCCGGATCGGGCGTAGGTAAAAGATTCAACACTCGGCGCGGTCCAGCCGCACACGAGTCGTTCGCGTCGCTACTAAAATTCGTCACACAAATATTCGCATCGTTGTCCGCGCAGAACGAAAGTCGTGGGCGCGGAGATTGGCTTCGTTCCCTTGTTAAACTGGAACCTCTCTGCTTTAAAATAGGTCTAACTGCTGCTTCACACTCTGATCCCGAATGGTCTGACGTCCGTGACCTGAGAAGTGATGGTCTTCGGGAGCTTCGGTCGTCTTCGCTCAAATCGAAACTAGAAGCATGTCCATCATCGCTGGACAATTTTTTTGAAGACTTCAAAATCGGTTTCTTCGGCAGGTCAAAGTCATGGTCATCCTCGGTAGATTTTTTTTTCAAAATAGGTCTAGGTGTGTCCCACCCGGCAATATCGACACATGGCCGTTCTTCAGAAAAGCTCTTTTTCTTTAATATAGGTCTTACGATTTCTTTATCGTCATCAATAATCTCTGCACCTCCTGCAGCTGCTAACAAAACGGCTTGAGCAATAGAGACGTGTGACGATGCTGTGCTACTGCTGGAACTTGAATTCGATTTTCGTTTTAAAATACTATGAGGTTCTGGAGAACTATGCGACATTTCATCATTAAGAGGGTCGTCTTCTCGGCTTGTTTTTCTTTTCAGTATGCCATGTATTTGCCCATCTGGTGATCGATTTCTAACTACATCTTCTAAAGACGACCTTCGATTTTTCAAAATTGGTTTGTTTGTCTCCAAGGTGCCATCATCAGCAAAAGAGACTTCCGGACTACATGACCGCCTTCTAGCAACTTGCGATTCATCCAGACTTCTCCGTTTCTTCAATATACCCTGTCTCTGTCTGTTTTCAGATCGGCCGTTAGATTCGACAACGCTTGGAGAGAAAGTTACCGGTGGAGATGCAATGGCATGATTAGAAATAGCGGAAGAAGTATTTTCTTCGTGAGCGGATTTCCGCTTTAAGATAGATACGGGCGTATGACTACTGGACGATGACGAATCAAGACGACGATTTTGACTAGTATCATTATTGAGATCAGAAAACATTGCACTTTGCTTTTCAAAGTCTATAAGTCTCTGAGCAGCCGTATCTATATCCTTCAACCTTTCTGTTACTCCTCTATTGTATATCGGTCTATCGTTGTGCAGACCATAATTAATAGGATGACTAATACTTAGTTGTTCTGGTTTCGATTTAAATAACGTGTCTAACTTTTGTTCTGACGAGTCTAGATTTAACTTAGCACTAGTTAAGTTATTCGACAATTTGTTAACCCTATCTAACGTTTGTTTAGTCAAGGCGGCTAAACTATCCATTTCCTGCGAAAGTCTAGAATTACTTGCATGTGGTCTAACAGTTTCGTGAAGCGTGAACATTTTGGCAGTATCTTTATTTTTTTCTAATGCACATGTACCAAAGTTTTGTTTTGTTTCTGTTTGTAGAATGGCGTTTAGCACTTTTGTCGGTGAATGATTTCTATCACCTTTGCTGTCTTTCGGAGAATTTTCTAAACTAGTCAGTCTTTTCTTTGAATAATGATATTTTTCACTAAGACTTTCACTATTTTTTTGAGCTTGATTTCTTCTATCGACACGTTTATTTTCTGTCTCACTCTTCGCTTTCTCGGGACTTTTGCGAACAGATCTACCTCTGTTGGATTCAAGAAATTTTGTTTCCGTTTTAGAAGTTAACTGTTTTGATAAGTCCTGTTTGATAGGCGACGTTGAAGTGCGGACAGATGTTTTCTTAGAAAGAGGTATATTGCTGGGTTTAATGTTTGTTTCGTTACTCCGACGCCTCTCGTGCGGTTTGTGGGAAGAAACGTTCGAATTAGCAGACTTTGAAAGGGTTGACTTAATACCAAAAGATATATTAAAAGCACTTTTCGTAGATTTGGAAGACGGTAATGAATTTTCAGTCTTGGAATGTGGCGCTTCGAGAGAACGTCGGTTTTTCGTTCTTGCGACGCTTCCTGAAACAAAATAAAATGAGATTAGCATTTCTAAAAATTTTATTCCCATACCGCATAATATTTTTTGACTTTATAACTAAAAATTCAATCGTGTAAGCGTTTGTTGTATTTTAAATAAAAATTAGGGCTTTTCGCAAAAGTGGAAAAGGAAGTTGGAACCTGTAATTTTTCAATATGATTATTCTCTAATTTAGTAATTGGAATACAAATTTGCTTTTTTTAAGCGAAATATTGTCTCAACAGTAACGATAACAATACAAGATTTTTCTTTCCATTTACATTAACAAAAATTATGTGTGGTGTAATTTTTTTTTGTTTATTTATTAGATGGGTGGACGAGCTCACAGCCTACCTGGTGGTTACTGGAGCCCATAGACATCCACAACGTAAATGCGCCACCCACCTTGAGATATAAGTTCTAAGGTCTCAAATAAGTTACAACGGCTGCCCCACCCTTCAAACCGAAACGCATTACTGCTTCACGACAGAAATAGGCAGGGTGGTGGTACCCACTCGCGCGGACTCACAAGAGGTCCTACCACCAGTAATTACGCAAATTATAATTTTTGCGGGTTTGATTTTTATTACACGATGTTATTCCTTCACCGTGGAAATCAATCGTGAACATTTGTTGAGTACGTATTTCATTAGTTAGCATATATTATTTCCTGATCACAAAAGGTTAAAATATTTAGATCAATAAAACATTTTTCGATTCACTTAATAGGTAATATAATTGCTTGGTCAATTTTACTAGATTTGTTATTAAAACGTGACAATATATGATACTATACAAATGAATTTGATAAATGACCTCAGTAAATAAATCCATACGCGTTCTTCTATATACTGTAATGTAGAATGAATAGACGTCGAAAACAAAAAGAAATAAACGAACCATCAGAATGACAATGGAGCATCGAGTGATGTTATTATAATATTATTTTAGCTTATCTCGTCGCCCGGTCCATTAGCCGGGACACCTGACACCTACTTTTGCATATACCGAATACGACCTCGCAGATTAATTTACGTTAATGTGTGTACGTACAACCGTATAGGACGAAATTTTTACTTATTAAATGAAAATAAGCAGTTAAAAAAATCGATATTCACAAGAGATCATGTTTTATTTGTCAGACTCACAAGTGCACATTATTATTATTATGTTACATTGTATATTTGTATGTATATTTATAAATGTATATATGTGTAATGAAATTGCGTATTTATATGTAGGTATGCGTGTGTGTGTATCTATACTAATATTATAAAGAGGAAAGATTTGTTTGTTTGTTTGTTTCGAATAGGCTCCGAAACTACTGGACCGATTTGAAAAATTCTTTTTCCATTAGAAGCCGACATTGTCCCTGATGAACATAGGCTACTTTTTTTAATTTTTTTTTTGTTTCATGTGTGTTTTAATGTTTCCGAAGCGAAGCGAGGGCGGGTCGCTAGTATTTTNATCTATACTAATATTATAAAGAGGAAAGATTTGTTTGTTTGTTTGTTTCGAATAGGCTCCGAAACTACTGGACCGATTTGAAAAATTCTTTTTCCATTAGAAGCCGACATTGTCCCTGATGAACATAGGCTACTTTTTTTAATTTTTTTTTTGTTTCATGTGTGTTTTAATGTTTCCGAAGCGAAGCGAGGGCGGGTCGCTAGTATTATTATATAATGAAAATCAATAATAACCATGCCGCTTACAAAGTTTTTCGTTAAAAAATAAATTTAAAAACTGTCATAGGACCGCTCAGATTTGCTTCTGGTGTTGCTAAGGTTCACGAGCATCGATGACCACTCATTATCAGCTGAGTCGTATGCTCGTCTGCTTATTAAGGCATTCAAACAGCATCAATGATTCAATCATAAAATTAATTAGCCACGGACATAACAGAAATTATTTCTTAAGTAACTTGATTGATGTTTTAATATGAAGCGTTAATTAAGAGAATTAAAACTTTTCAAGTTCCGTGTGTTGTCAATTAATTATATTGTTAATTAACGAAAATTTACCCAAAAATGGAATTTTGGCAATGAATTCTTTAATAATGTGTTTATAAAATGATTACTGGAGTTTTACAAAAATGGCTCGATGTTCAGTGCGCTTAGTGTGAGTTTTTTAACGATCTCGATAACGTAAAAGTTAACTCAAATTTGTATGGAATTGGAACGTAGTTAGTCGTCGTAGGCAAACGTTCCAACTCCATAAAATTTTTAGGTAACTTTTACGCTATCGAAATTGTTAAAAAACTCACACTAAGCACACAGATCGAATTGTAAAAACGCAATACATCCAAAATTGTCGTGGCTTAATAGATAAGTCGCCCGGTGCAGTCATATGTAGCGATGCGACTGTGCCGGTGTTCGAATCCCATAGGCAGGTACCAATTATTCTGATGAAATACGTACTTAACAAATGTTCACGAATGACTTCCACGTTGAAGGAATAACGTCGTGTAATAAAAATCAAAACCGGAATAAATTATAATCTGCGTAATTACGGGTAATACAGCAGGTGGGCCGTAAGTTCGTCCACCCATTCTAAGCTTACCTTAGTGCCCATAGAACATCTATAACGTAGTTGCCGCCACCCACCTCGAGTTAAGAAAGAGTTCTAAGGTCTCAGTTATTACAGTTCAACGGCTACCCCACCCTTCAAACGGAAACGCATTCCTAGTTCACGACACAAGCAGACAGAATGGCGGTACCTACCCGTGCGAGTTAAGAAGATGCCCTATCATCCGTAAATATGCAAATTATAATTTTGCTAAAGGCAATTTTTAACACAACATTTCTTTTAAAGTTCAGAGTTTTCTAATGCAAAAATAGCTTGAACTCATTGCTAATTTGCTTCCGCGAGTTTTTTTTTTGCTGTAGTCACCGCAGTAGTACGGTAGATAGGTAGATACCCCTCGGTGTAATCTTATCAAGCGATGCGACTATAAATATGTTAAAATCCCTTAGACAGCTACAAATTTTTTAAAGAAACAACAACGTAAAACGTGTTTACGTATGACTTTAATCTACAATGACTACAATTACACGATGCATTAAAAATGTAACTGGCACCATTTAAATTTGCGTAATTACTAGTGTAGTAGTAACATCCTGTAAAGATCGCACTAGTAAGTGACACGATTCAGGTTATTTCGGCCGTGAAGCTTCTAAGTGAGTTGCGGTATTCACACCATGATGCCTATGAGCTCCGGCTCCAGATGGACCATTAGCTCGTTCACCCATGATTGGATTAAATAAAATATTTTTATTTCGCAAATATATAGTTCGCGATCTTAGTGTCAAGCGGTTGCTAGAACTCTGCCATACTCTGACAAATTGCAATATAGCGGATTGATGTAAAACAATCCTCCAAACTGACTGACGAATTGCCGTCGTTCACTGAATCTATAGACATCGTAACGTTTCCATCACCCTGTTCAGACATGAGGTCGAAATCTCAAATGACAAATTGGAACGCATGATTTCTCTGCGGCAAATCTCTACGGCAATAGACTGAATAAAAATAGTAGCCTGTTAAAGTTCACAATGCGCTTTATCACTATTAAAAGCTATGTGACACAGAATAGCAGATGTAAGTGAAATGTGATTCCGACACGGGCCACCACTAATAGTCGTGAGTCCGATATGTTGAAATTAGAATTGATCGCTAAATTCGATTGCAACGATTAACGTCGCGAGTCGATGGAACGATTGTCGGGAGTCGATTTTTATAAAAACCGAACTTACGCCACCAGACACGATGATTGACGTGCAAGTCAACCGATTTGAATAACAAAAACGTCTCGATTATTGTTTAATCGGAGGTCGAGATAATCATTAACTCGTTGTAATTGCGCACCGATCGCTATCATTTCTATTATTTAAAAACAAATCATCATCCGTCTATAATTAATTAGGAGCAATTCCATTTTCTAATAGTTTTATTTTTAATAATTTCTTTACCACATTTGCAAATACTGATGTAAGATTTTAGAGCTAAATTTAAGTACAAAACTGATAGGTACTTGTAATTCAGTGAGCAATCGCTTATAAAATTAAAGCTAAGATTAAGTTATACTTCTAATGAAAATTCATGTAAAGTACCTACTAAGCTAATTTTAATTTTCTTTGAAATACAATATAATATTTAAAGAACCTATTTTCGTCTATCAGATAACGCTCGAATTCTGAAGTAGGTAATTAGAGATAAGTTTTCGAATCAGTTTTAAGATAAATTAGCCATCAAATGCCTCAAAGGACTAATTACCGTCCTTTTACTTGAATTGAGACAATTTTTGTTCCTCGTCTTTTTCAATGCCTATGGCTGAAGAAAATGAGAGAATGACTGTTTGAAAACATAGCTTACTTACCCAGGCTGATACCGCCAAACTGGTTCTTTTTTTGAAACGGTATGAAACAGCTGTGTTTTAAATATTTCCATCGAAAAACTACAGTTCGCTTAATAAAGGAACATTAAAAGCGTTAACAATGACGAGTTAGGTTGTATTATCGTTTTCTAATTACAAACATGTCGTTACCGCATTGCGCGACAAGCAATTGTGATTAATGTGACACGTAATAACACCCACGAGTCTATCACACATGTTTTGTCTGATAGAAAGAGAATACATCCTTGTGATCATAATTTGAGAGAAAAGACACTTAATGGACTTTTTTTTTATTGCTTTGATTGGTGGACGAGCTCACAGCCCACCTGGTGTTAAGTGGTTACTGGAGCCCATAGACATCTACAATTTTTGATAATTTAATGGAAAATATTTTATGGGTGTAATTATACATTATTATCAGGAACAAAAAAAAAGAAAAGGATTACTTTAATTTGGCATTATTTTCCATATTATTTTCGGGAGGAGAAAATAAAAAATATAACACCCTGTATATAATATGACTATGAGTCATTTTAGGGACGAAAAAATTATGTAGCAATGGCGTGTTATCGTTGAAATACTATTATTTGTGGAGCTAGAACCTAAATT